TGAGAAGATTATTTAATTTAATTTGTTTTTATTTTTGGGTCAAATTTGGCCTGCAGGCCACCTATTAGGAACCATGGTCCTACACGTTTGGAGTCCATAGGAGGTCGGCCTTACCCACCATAACCAGTTAACCATACCAATCAATTTTAGTAACGCGTCAGTGAATTAAGTATTCACGTAAATACCGTACTTACCTGACTGCGTGCGTGTTTGATGCTGACAACTGCAGTTTCAGTCACATAATCAACATTGGTTGTGACAATGAACGCGCAAGACCACACGCACCGCCAAAGCTTTCGGTGACTTGAATCTCAAACGAGATAACGAAAGCTCTCTAATAACTCAAGTTACTGCATGATTGTTTTATATTTTTAATAAAACTAATTTCTTCTAATTTTAAATATATTTTTCCTGAATTCGAGATTATTCGTCGTCATGCGTAGACTAAATGCATGACAAATTTAAGATCACGCATGTGTTTCTGCCAAATGCGTGTAATGCTGCATTCATTATAACTTGTGAAATCAGTGTTTCTTAGCTTACAACTTGTGAAATGTGTTCATCTCGTTGGTGAACTTGTAAACACAAGTTGTGAACTCGAGTAGAATTTTATTCCTCGATTTGCACAAGTAGTGTGGAAAATGGCGGATGTAACACAAATTATGCACAACAAGCATATAGGTATTTATTGCAATTTGTTTATTAAGTAATATTATTTCAGATTAAAAAAAAGTGTTGTTTGTATGTTTTATTTGCAACCTAACATATTTATTGCAATTTGTTTAAGTAATATTATTTCAGATTAGAAAAAAAGTTTTTTTGTATGTTTTATTTCCGAAAACTTTGCAAAAGTGACAGCAGCCTTTTAGCGTTCATCAAATGAATGCACTCTTCTTGTGTACTCGCATGTTACACAAGTTGTGAAATCAGTTTTCACAAGTTATAATGAACGCAGCATTATATACATCCAAAATCACTTTGAAATGCGGGACTGTCCCGCACGATGCAGAACGGTTGGTAATGCCTTTTGTAAGCCAGGAATCAATAGTATTTTGTTACGTTTCTTCACAGAGGGGGGTTCGTCCGAACCCCTTGAACACCCCTGGATCCACTGCTCGCTAGTCTAGACTCTAGGGGCCTAGCCTAGTACTAGTAGTATAGGCCTAGTCCTCGCCTCTAGAAGCCAGTTTAGTAGTCGCTACCCAGAACGACACCGATGCGATTCATGTCGTATCACTTACCAGTAGCCAAGTGTCTAGGATATGAAGGCATTATATTGACTTATCAAACCAATCAAATAAATAACGTTTTAAGACCCACAAGTCTCTTATTTTTTATTAATTTTTTCTCATTCTGGACAGCGCCACCAACGAAAAAGTTAATTTAGTCGGAATAAGAAAAAAACCGAGTATGGGACGCCAATTAAATTAGGTATGGCGAATACTACTACCAAAGAACTTAAATAGCAGAAGATAAAATGAGCTGTTCCGCGTATTTCCATTAAAATTGATGGAACATCCGCCCTCCCGCGAATGGGCTAAAATTTGAATATTTTACTAAGTGGAGAAACTACAGGAAACAAACGAACCAGAGCGGCCCCTTTATTATTAATATGTCAGAGCCGTAGATTAAACCATGGTTTGATAAAGAAATTGAACAGTCCCTGAAGACGAGAAAAGATGCTTGTCGAGCACATCGTAATTACTGTAGATATAAAGGCGACAATCAATTTAGTGAAAACACGTGTAATAATCTTTCGAATGATTATCAAGTTAAACGCAAGCAAGCAAAATTATTAATAAGACAAAAATTATACAAAAAAGGTAGAAAATTGTTCAAAACTAATGGAGAAAAATATTACTATATAGCGCAGCCGCGCGGATGGGGTAAAATTGCTCTCCGTGTACCCACAATGCCTTTGGAACGGATGTTCCACTATATTGGGAAGCTGCTCTATCTTCTGCTATCTATTATCTTTGCTACTACTGTACTAGCTAGGGAGTATGGACCGCCCAAAGTGACTTTTCGTTCGACTTAAATATAATTTGGCTATGTAACTTTATTATATACGGCGGCGGCTTTTCGTTCACGCAAATAGCATTTTGCTGCGAATTCATCATTCGACGGCGATTTTATCATTCGGCGACTCTAGTATTTGAAGACTGCATCATCCTGCGACTTTAACATTCGGCGACTACATCATTCGGCGACTACATCATTCGGCGACTTCAGCATTCGGCGACTATACGAAAACTTGTATTTTCCAAAGTCTGTGTACATAAACCTAGCTTTCTAAACCGTTAAAATTATCTAGTGCTTCCTGGTTGTGCTCCTTACTACTTATATTGTCAATCATGACCGTAGGCTTTGGGGTGCGGAGAGTGCCGATGTACACGCAGTGACCCCCCTCCCAATATTCTATGGCGGCAAATTATTTCCGCTAAGGAAGTGGGATATACGATCAAAAATAAACAGTGAGTTTTCATTGGAATAGAGATTCCTTATTCACAATTAACACACCTACCCCCTCCCTCTCACGCAGACCAAAACTGTCCCTGTGTATACAGTATTAATAGTTACGGTACATTATGAAATTTAAAAAGTGTTGTATTGTAGATCTTGCAGATTGGTCTTTTCAGTTAGCCACCTTCTCTGTAATAATTGAGGGTCACATGCATTTTTTCTCTATCCTTAATTAATCTAATGATGTTTGTTTTATTATTTTATTTATTTAAAATACAAAAAGAATCAACTTTATTCCACTTGCAACATCGATAACAAAATAACATTTCAAATAAGTCGATTAATTAATATACAGTCAACTTTAATATCTACACTACGTTTTTATATAATGTATATCATTACAATTTGTTTTGTTTTTTTAACCTATTTAATTTCAGTGCGTAGAGCTCTTATCACGCCATCTTAATCTCTCCGCCACACAGTATAGCTCACACAACCACGTTGGACCGTACCACTTTACTTAAGAGGGGAATGTTGGGCACCTAATCACAAATAATAAATGAAATAATATTGTAACATTTTATAATGTCTTAAATTCATTTTGGTCAGGCACTATATCTGATATATATATTTTATGGTACTGTATAATCAATAAGAACACTGTATAAAAAAAGTCAAGGAGACAATCTTAGCCAAGACGCTCTATACTATAGTTAGAATTTAGCAAGCCTAGGCNNNNATGGTCGAGTCCATCGAA